AAAAAATAAATAAATAAATAAATAAATAAATAGATAGATAAAAGAAGGTAACTACAAAGGAAACAGAAAGGGGAAAGAGTAACTGCTCACTGGGCATTGGCTACAGTAACATTACAACAGTTTTACAACAAAATCTGTTGGAGATTACACTGTGCCGAGACATGCTGTGGAATGAACACATGCGACAATACAAGCTGGGTATGTGGCAAACAATCGGTAACAATTACAAAGCCGCAGCATTCAATGGTCAATTTTCCATAATAAGTACCTTGGTGTATGTCTACTCATGATGCCTTATCTCTAGCCAGGGAGAGCAGTAGACCTTTTAATCTTTCCACTCGGTTGATGACAATGGTAAAAGAGTCCCGTCATTTAAATTAAACCTATGGAGGCTGTGTTCACAGTAGAGCTAAGTTAGATCATAGCCAGTTTATATTATATATGACAGCTAGGTTTCATATTCTAAGGCAGTGCTGTTGTGTCTTTATGTATCAAATATAATATTAAATATAATATTTTTTAAAATTTTATCTTTAAGAAACACTTTACTTGATTGTCATCTCATTTCATTTAATGCATTTTACAATTGTATTTATCTATAATTTATCGCACAATCCATATCTAATTTTATTTAGCTGCAAATAAATAAATAATTAAACTCAGACTGCAATAATATTCTGACTTCCTAGACCTGAAAGCTGTGCACATATCCAAAATGTCAAGTAATTTCTTCTAACACCAGATGGTTATAAAAACCTGTCTATGTAGCTTGGCACTCAGAAAAAAAGGTTGAAAATTGATGTTGATGAAAGTTGATGTCATACCAGTATACTGACAGTGCTTCCAAAGCCATGGGATACATGATCCATGACAACTGATTTTTGTGACTTCCTTTCATGATCTGACAAAAAGCATCCCTTGTTACAGATCAACTCTGTTATTGAAACTTACCAGTAGATCAAGGAACAAATTTAATATACAAATTGTGTGTTTTTGTGTGGGGGGTGTCTATCAAACCTACCAAAGCGTTTAATATGGAAGGTTGACACTGCTGGTATCTTCCTGTCTCACTGCTTATTAACAACTATATGTAGAAAGAAAGACGTACATGATGTCGTGACGTATCACGTACATAAACTTATCATTCGATACCCTCATTATGAGGCTGTTCTATACTTCACCTGTGGACTAAATATGGTTTACCTTCATGCACGATTTTAAAAGCATCAACATTTGTGGAAAACTGATCCTGAAGGATATATGTCTCTAAAGGAAAGCAATAAATTTGACAGAGAGGGAGACCTAAAGTAATCTCAACAACATATCTTGTTTAGTTGCCAATGATACGGACATCCAGTCATGTGCACCAAGTCAGATTGCAATCTGCACGCAGGCTGCTGCAAAGTCGAGAAGACAGTTATCTGTTTATTTTGATAGAAATGGTTTGTAGGAACATAAGATGATGTTTTTCAAGTATACAATTTTGGCTCATATCTGTATAAATATCAAATGAATGTGGGGAAGGGGGTGGGGGTCAAATATTTGTATTTCACTAAAAATGGATGTGGGCAGTGGGCAGGGTGGGTCATGTACAAGTCAAGGTATGTCACTGCATTAAAAGACGAAAGCTGTTTTTCATGGAGTGTTCCAATTCCAAAATTGAAAGAATCAAGTGAGAAAACTGCCTGACTAACCAAAAGTACTTACACGGTCAATTAACACTTCTTTCTTCATTCCTACTAATTCTACTACTGCTTTAGTTCTGAGATAAGTGAGATATTCACCGTGACACGCGTCATAACTTTTATCATCACCCATCTCACCTGCATAAGTGTGCTTATCTATAATGCAGATCACGGAATAGTGAGACTGAATTCCAAGTTGTGTTTTTTTTTTTTTTTCCTAAAATGCTTTTCTTAAGATTTTTTTTCCCCAATTTGTCAGTTGAGGTGTGCTGGATCTGTTTTTTTTTTCATTATGTTTTGACTAAATAACTATATATATTTCACAAGATCAAAAATTATAAATGTGAGCAACATTTTTCCTTAATTCACTACACTCCAACTTGAACATTTTATAGTAGTTTTGAAAATTTATCATCAAAGTGCAAAATGTGACATTAAACTGAGTCTTTTATGTTCAGCAAATATTATTCAAAAATATTAATGGTATATACATTAATGGTATACATATGTATATGCACACTACTTACCATTGTGACTTGGGATTTTCCTCTTCAGTCCTAGCAGGAGGATACTCTGGCTATTATTTGTCCTGTTTAATGTGGCTGGTGTGTATTTATGTAGGCACCCAACTTTCACTGCTTCGCTGCACTTACTTTGTTGTTATTCAATAAAGTGTTTGAGCAATCAAATCTTTTTCACTGTCCAAAAATCATAAAATCCTGTCAACCAATTGGAATGCAGAATGTGCTCCCATAAACTTTTTTTGGTTAATGATTGCCAACCATGATTAATGAGATACCTTATTTTCTGTGGTTAGAGGGAAAAATACTCTTCTCGTTGTGTCTTCTGTTGCAAGTGATCTAAATGACACTGAAATTGAAAGAGTATTGACACGCGTTAGACATGCCATTGGCATTAAACATGATGTGTTAAGTTACATAAAATTACATACAGTTCTTAGAAAAAGTAGATAAAAAAATGTAAGAATCAGAAAAACAGTTAATGCTTTTTTTCTTCATTCATCTCCCTTGGGGTAGAGTTACCACAAAGAACAAAGCACTACTTCCTTATCACTTTTCAACCAACCAGTCCCATTCTAACAATGAAAAGGAAACAGAAACAAGGCAACTTAACGTCTAAATGGGACAAATTCAAAACTAGCCATGTCTTTACATTTTTCTTTTCTTTTGTCTTTTCTTTTCTTTAATTTATAATTCTTTTATAACTATTCTTTTCTTTAATTTATAATTCTTTTATAACTATGAACTCATCTTTGATAAATTTGGCATTATTTTGGTTTTTGCAACCTTTAACAAAGCTTAGAGATAAATATCTCTTTTCCTCATAGATCTATGATGTCATATGTACAAGAACTTTATTACAGGTGCAATGATTTCAGTCTTTAATCTTTTTTTATAATATTTATGCTAACATAGGTTGTCAGTGCCCACAGGTCAATCATATTGAAAAGCTTTATCAAAGAAATATATAATTCAGGAATAATATGATCATATATAGTTATGATAGTGACCTGCCTTTTGAGGCAAAAATAAACCAAACAAGTTTAAATCGAAACGGTAACTTTCCTTCCCAGTTTGCTTTTGAAAAATCATATTTAACAGCTTTCCCCCTGCCTCCACCAGACTTACCAATCTTAAATTGTCCTTTTCTGACTCTAACTATAATAAGGGGTACTGGAGGAGATCAGTATTGGTCAGAATTGTGCTGGAAGTGACGTGTAGTGGTGTAAGATGTAAAACTTAGTGGTCATTTTTAGCTGGAGGTGAATGGGGATGAAGACATGGGTTTGGAGAAAAAAGCAGTTATTCCAACAACACAGTAAGATAACATTTCTTCTTTATGCATTTGGGGCAGAGAATACTTGTAGAAACAATAGGCACATGATTTGAAACGTGTCACGGAACTTGAAGGTGTAAAATCGTGCTAAATTTGCAGTCAATTTGTTTTGAAATACATGCTGCATCGACCGTCAGAAGGGAAAAAAAATCCTGGGAGGCTATAAATCGTTGTCATGTGGAATTTTGGCATTTATATAATCTGATATGTCCATATCTAAGTATTTTGGGGTGTTTTATGGTATGTGCTGCAATTATAACGATGTTTTAGGGTCTTTGAAGGACCTTGTGAAAACTAGGAAGTAGTTCGTAACTGACAACAGAGTCGTACCGATCCACAACTACTGTGTGATGATGTAACTGTTTTAAAATATTTTGATGAATTTTTATATCTTTATATGTTCATCTGACATGAAATTCAACACATATAATCACATTAATACACTTTTTCACCGGGGTAGCCACTAATCAGTGACAAATGCCAAGACAAAGGTGACATTCTGAAAGCCTCTTCTGGAAGACGGTCAGAATTTTTCAAGTTTACATTGACGGGCATATAATTTTTCTGTTGTAAGACGGACAAAATAAGGATGGATAAAAAAAGACAATTTGTGAAGACTGTCAGAAAACATCTCTGGATCCACACCTGGTTTTCCAGATATGTACACCATTCATTCCATGACTCCATTTCCAGATCTCATAAGACTTGTGCTATGACCCAGGTTACTTTCAAACTGTGTCAAGATGCCAGACTACTGAGGTTAGGCAGGGAAGGGTGAATATAATTTTTTTTTCGATATTGATTATTTTCCTCAAAAGTTCAACAAGAAGCAATTCATGCACTAAGAATGTGTTCAAAATCCTGGCTTGGATCACTTTAATGTACCTAAAAGTGGACAGGAAATCCTGTGATAATACCAGCATATCAACCTGTTCATGATTCAAATCAATTACCACCATAATAATGTACATGACTCTGAACACTGGATAGCATAATTACAGACTAGTGTTATTCTATCATATAATCAGGGAGGTTTCCATGATGCACATTTGTAATAAAAAGCGAGATTTGCCTTATCTTCAGTAGATATCCCATACCCAAGTTACATTTACATTAAACATCCACACATGGGAGAGCCTTGCCACTTTGCTTCTAAATTCTTCTTTATCATGTACAAGTACATTCCTTTTCTTTATTATAAACCTCTTCAGCAATTGTGGGTTTAAAATATAGCATTAAAAAAAAAAAGCTAAATGGAATACTATTTATTGCAAATCATCCCTCCCATCTAAGATGCAAATTAAGTGGTTACAGATCACAACAATCATAAGATTGGTCATGCCCGGGAGCATTCTTTTTAGCCATGCCCTGACTTGCAGATCTTGTGTATGATGTGTCCACTGTAAATGTGATCCAGATCTGTTATGGTAACAATATCCTGTTAGTAACTGGCTTTGGAAAAAAAACTTCCTGGTTTCTGTTTTTGAGGAAACCATTGGCCACATCAGAGTAATACATAATTGGTAAATCTACAGAGGACAAATACTGGCTGTACACTGACAGTCAGTTAAATTTAAAAACCAATTACTAGTACAAACCTGCCAATAATTCATAGATTAATCTATTCAGTTTTCTTTCCACCTTCAGAATTATTCATTTATGTTTTATTTTATTTTTCTTTTCAAAAATCATTTTATTTTTACTTCTACAGATAATATCTAAGGCCCCATTCATAGGCAGTCTACACAAAGTTTGGTCAATTTACACAGACAAATAGGAATACTGGTAGGGTTGAATTTATGTGTAAAAGCAGTTTTTACTGACAAAACCAAGACACCTTTACATACCGCATTTGTATACAGGGGAAACATTGTGGAGCTTACATTTTAGCAGTGCAAAGTAGCTTAAGGCAACCTGGGCAAACGCTGGTTGTAAGCATATATGTACATGTACATTTTGTAAGCCTCATAATATTTTGCTCTACAAATAACGATCTTTGGACCTAGAAGAAAAATATAATACCAGCAATGCCAAAATATACCACACTGTTAAGGATTAACAGACAAGACGAGGATGTTCATAACCGTTTCTGATTGAACATTTGTGCTGTGATCTGAAAGATGGCCATTTATTTTGTTCTCTTCATTGCTCATATATACACGGTGTCTATCTACTAAACCCTAGGATAGGTAGTAGCTTTCGTTTACTTCAATCTCAAAACTGGGGCCCTAATAACTCTAAAATGACATAAGGTAACAACGATAAACCTACCTTTAGACTCCTGGTTTGTTGAAATGGTCCATATGCTGTGCACGTCTACCGCTTGTCACTGTTTGTCCTGACAAAACACTACCAGGATCTGCGTCACGTAACTCCTTGTTGCTGACCCGGAAGTCCTTCATTCAAAGCCCAATTTAGATTTTTCAAAGCCGACGGTCATTCATAAATTGTTTAGACATACAATTTCACTACCATTCGAGTAACCCCAAACTTAAACTTCATTTTTGTCTAATCATATGATTTTCAATGATTTATTGTAATATATTTCCTATTATTATTCCGGTGTGCATATTTGTTTTCACTGCCTTGACGAAACTAAAATTAGGCCTGACACCGACCTTGTATGTCCTATGTTCCTGTCTTGTGACTTTCTTCAAAGGAACTCCAAACAAAACATTCGATTCATGCCTATCATGTGAAGGATCATGTCGTTTTTTACTGCAGATGACGATGACCAGGATTTCTCGCTAACTGGAGGCGGGTGAGATATTTGAGATGTGATTATGTTGTTTTATCAAAGAAAAAAAGGTTCACTTCCTGTTCACTGATGAGTTGGGGGTGGTGACAAGTAGCGGTTGTCACACGGGAATTTGGAGGCATAAACACACTTGAATAAATAAAAATGATATTGGAATTAGCCGGTTTACTTTTCACATTGATTTAGTCAAAATATGTCAAACAGTTTTGTGCTCTTTATGGAAGATCCGCAAGCATTAATGAACTGTTTTGCTTTTATTTTGCCCCTTACCATATCGTTCACCAATTTATACATGATTCCAGCTCCAAACTAGCCTCTATATTTGGCATCGACCAGGCTTCCAATCAGGGTGGCAATGAGTCCCTGAAGTACACTGCCCCAAAGCAGCCCAGACCAGCCCAGGCACAGCCTCAAGGGGGCGCTCCTGCAGTCCTCCATGCCTGTGCTGTACAGACATATAAATTGTGAGTATGGTGGAATGGTGCTGAGTTATTGAAATTAGAATTTTTGTTGTGTGTTTTTTCATGCATTTTACAACACAACTCAATTTAGTATGGATGGCATATTGATTGATTTTATCAATATGTCAAGTAAATCTACAGTAGGCAGAGTTTCACTCACATAAACTGATGAATACTTACTGGTGTTTATTATCACGTAAAGGGGGTTTTCAAACACTATTCTTGATATAGTTTAGGTTTTATTTTATAGTGAAATCTTTTAAGGGGTTGGCATTTAGTACTTTATTGTAGTTTACAAATAGATACTTTATCAGTTAACAAACAATTTAAACCTGTTTTGCTTAAGTTAAAGGGCTAGTATTGTTACCCACACAACTTGTAAAGGAGACTTTCCCCTGTTCCAGTGTAAACAATCAGTATGCCAGCCAGGGAAAACTTGGTGCTGCTATAGTGGGTAGTCATGAAGCAAAAGATGTAAGTATCTATACATTTTTGGTGCCTCTTAAAATAAATAAACCATTGCAGATATATATAATAGAGAGATAATAAAAAAAAAGCAGATCAATTATCAAATAATTTTCCTGATTGCAACAACAGGTGTGCTTATAATACTAAATACATGCTATTTTTACTACAAGAATGAATGATAATGTTGATAAAAATACCTTTTGACACATTTGCATTTGTTGAATAATTTAAAATGAGACAAATTAAAAGACTTGATAAAAAGTATTTGATATGTATATAATAATAAAGAATACAGTTAATTGTTGAATGAGTTGTGTAATGTTTCTGTCATGACCTGCATCAATATTTCTTTGTAGTACAAGTTGCTTCTCTATGTCAGCAAGCAACAGCAAGTTACCACAGCAAGAATTTCTTCTAGCTTTAATTTTACAGTGAGTGACTTTTTATCATTAGCATAAATATGTATATCTGATTATTATATATACTGGGATATTACTGTGAGTATCATGGTATGTCAGTTGAAGTGTAAATTTATTTACTCGTGTATCCTAAATAGCATGGTTTATGAATGTCAGGATTAAGAGCAAACAATATATGAAATATAATGATAAGTAGAATCTTTTCCTTGGTGTAATGCATTGCTTTTATATTAATTCCAGATTCAAGCCAACAATTATGCTAACTTCTATGATGATGCCAGACAGAACTGGTCTCTCAACTTTGACAGCACTGATAGTGCAGTGCAATTTGCAAAGCATGTAAGTCAAAAACTAAAGAGGTATAAGAAGTGAGCCAAAAGAAAATTTAAAAAATTGTAATTTAATACTTTGTCTCATTTTTGTATGTGATTACATTTTCAGTATCCCTAGTTCTATACTGTTTAAGTTTTCATGTCCATTCAAATCACCTTACTTAGGGTGAAAAGTAAAGAATCAAAGCAGTGCTTTCACTGTAGATATTGGACATGTTTCACAGGAACACATAATGTAGAAATTTCTTTCACCTATTTTGTTTATATGTTCTAAGGTTGCTCTGGCCAAGGCCAACAGTTCAGGCAATGCTCTCACAGGCACTGTATCTCAGGAGCTTGTCTTGGGTGATGGTGGCGCCCTCGAGAGTGGGGATAGTGCGGAGGTGAAGTATACAGGCTGGCTGCTGCAGAATAATACCTTTGGGCAGGTAAGTAGAGAGTGGTCAGATTTCCCTTCGTTTGCTATGTTGCTTATAAACTTGGATTGTTTTGGGGTACGTTTTTTTCACCTGTTCATCGTATTCATTAAGATCCATCTCAGCAACAACTGTGAATTCAGTATCCGCATCTGTTTCTTCACATACCACCCTGTATTCGTTTGTTACTTCCAAATAATCCAGATATCTTTTCTCTAGTCTTTCCACTGCATCTTTTACTTCAAGTCCAACATCAATGGCTTGTTCCAAGGCCTTTGCTCCCACAGTAACAGCTCTTTTAGCGTCACTTCGTTTCTTCTTTAACGTTTTCAAGTCCATGGTTATTACATAAGTGAACTGCTTCTGGTAATCTTGATTGTTTGACCAAATTTATTGACTGTATTGGGTTATAAAGAACATAGAACTCCTTTTTGTACACGGTTGGCTTTATTTTCAGTTTATTCAAAATTGCTGATAGCAGATAGACGATAGCCGATAGCCGGTCACTAAAATAAAAAATAAAAATACAATATAATATATACAAAAGTATAATATAAAACAATGATTCTCATAAATTAATACAAATACACTTACATAAATTGTGGAATCTATAACTTATAGAGTCATGTCCTTCTGTCCTTCTCCAGCAAAGTCAGTGTGTGTGTGTGTGCTCTCAGTAGGTGTGGTCTTTTGTATTCATGCATCACATGACTGAGTGACCACATTTCACATTTGCTTGACTGAACTTGAGTTTTTGTCAATATTTTGTTGATCCCAGAACACATAGAGCCTTTTGAGAGTTGTGGTAGAATCTATAACTGTGAAATATATATTGTAATTTTGTTATATCGGTCTTCAAATGAAAATATCTAAACAAGTGTTTTTACTTCAGGTGTTTGATAGCAATGCTAGTGCAGAAAAGCTTTTTCGATTCAAGGTGGGCAAAGGAAAAGTCATAAAGGTAAGGTCTATATTTGAAGTTACTGTATCGATGAATAATGTAATTTTGAAAAAATGACCTTGTCGATGTATACCTAATAGCCAAATAAATAACAAAAAATAACAAATGTGATCAGTGATTTTAGTTGTGTATTTTTAAATGAAAAAGCTCTGTATTTTAAAGATAAATTATTTGAAATGATTGTTTTCATGTCTTGCCTCAGGGCTGGGATGATGGTGTGATAGGAATGAAGAAAGGCAGCAAACGTTTGCTGATTATTCCACCTCACCTGGCCTATGGTACACAGGGTATGGGGGCCAGGGTACCACCCAGCTCTACTCTCATATTTGAGGTAGAAATTGTCAGGGTAGGTGAGCTTGTTATCTATAGAATAAGTATAAGAGTTTGAGTTATAAAACTGTGTTTATGTTGCTCAAAAAGCTGAATGCTGACAGAGAGAAACATTGTAATTAATTCTTTCAAGGGGCATTTCAGAACCAGTTAGTTTGCACTGGCACTGAGCACTTATTCCATGAGGGGACTCGCTGAATACAATCGGATTAACAGACTAACGTGCCTTTTCCTGGTTTTGAGTATAATACAGAAAAGCTGGTGATTATATTAACACTGGAAACAAGAGGAGGCATGTCAGTCTGTTTACAGTTAAATGTGGTTCTCAAGCTTATAATTTTCAATCTTATGAATGCACCATCAAAAGTGAATTTATATATAAATATTATGATATGTATAAATATTGTTATTATTATTATTATTATAATTATTAAGAGTATTTTGTCCTCCACCAGGTGAAGCTGTCCAAGGAACATGTCCCTGAGCAGGCGTCCAGTAGTGCCACTCCTCCCCCTGCTGCCAGCCTTGACATCCCAGAGACACACCAGGAAGACTCGGTGAAGTCTAGGAGCAAGTCCATCACAGAGCAACTCTCACATGTAAGCAGAAATAGCTACTGTTTGCACTATTTTTATAGTTTGAAAAACTACTTATCAGTCTCAGTATGCTGTTTGAGCTCTTTGGGATTTGTAATTTTGATATTATTTGATAATAGTGATATATTTTTAATAATTGTGGGGTACTCTAAAAAAAAAAACAAAAAAACAGACATTGAAATTTTATATATTTTACAGCACAGCAGTGATAAGGCCAAGCTAATCTCCCGTATGAAGAAGATGGGTCAACCTATGTTACCACTAGGTGGAGCTGTGGCTGCTGAGCCAGATACAGATGAGGAACCAGTATCTGTGAGTAAAGTGTAGATTGTGTAAGGTGTATAGACAGTGTAACTTGTATTCCAAGTCCACCAAGAAGTGTTTATCTTGGCCTATACTAGGATGGTTTTAACGACAAGATAATAGATTTTTTAGTTTCAGTTATCAGGAAACATATGAATGAAAATTGCAATTTATCTTATGATATAACTAGCTTGGTTAGGAATCTTATGTTTACTCTCTGAAAAATAAGTTTTCTTTAAAAAGTAAATGCTCTGAAATGCTACTACATATGACTTATTACAACAGTTACACTATTCAAGTTCAACTAAATTGTAATGTGTGCTACCTGGACAGAACTAACACACATACCCAATATTTATCATAATGTAGTGATATTCCTAGAGAATGCATGGTGTTTTGTATGTGGTATGGTGGTATATACACCTTGTCAAACTTCTGTGCACTCACCATGAACCACTTATGGTATTTTATTGACTTCCACCAACAAAGACACTTGTTTTTCTTGGCATTGTTTTTTTTCTGTTTGTCTGTGCATGTCTGCTTGTTAATGGAAAAAGTGTCTCAAAAAGTTCTACCCAAGTTTTGCTGAAGTTTTCAGGATAGCCAATTATTCAGGAGAGAAAGAAGTGGTAACAATTTCAGCTAAATAATGATCTCCTAACATTTGAAAAAAAAATTGTTTTTTTTTTCATCCCTTTCAGTAACTTCCTTTGCCCTTGGCAGAGGTCTTCATTCTTACAAAGTTTTCTAGTAATTATTAAAGTATAAACTTTCTTCTTTTCAGGAGAGCCCCTCACCTGCTCCTGTTACAGAACAGCCTCAGCTCTCAGCTCATGTTGCCCAGCCACAGCCACAGAAACCAGTCCCAGCAGCAGCAGCATTCCAACCCACAGTAACAGCACAGCATCAGCAGCCTATCATGGTCAGTCAGCCAGTGGTGCCACCTATGGCTACTGCTGCTGCGCCAGTATCGTCACAAGTTGCTGTCTACCAGTCACAAATACCAGGGATGCCTATGCAGCCACAATTCCAGGTAAAGATTTTAATACAATTGGAGTAGGAAGTGTGTGTGTGTGTGTGTGTGTGTGTGTGTGTGTGTGTGTGTGTGTGTGTGATTTCTTGTTATGTCTTTATCCTTAATTACAGGTGCAGCTATTCCATCTGCAACTTTTTTCATCTTCTTATTATTTTAAAGACAGAGAGGAGTTGTCTACACATTTGCCTTCCTAAGCTGATATATGTGTATATTATTCTAGCCGCCATTCCAGCAGCCGTATGGTTACCAGCAGCCACCTCCTCCACAGTATAGCAGCATGTATCAGCAGTTCCCAGGTAAACGACTCATTTTTCTTGTCCTCAGTATTACGCTTCTGCTTCATCAATATTAAACTTGACGTTTTGATTTCTGCACATGATTGTTGAATGATAAGAGATCCTTCATCCTGTTCAATGTTCATATTTTGTGTGATTTGAATATAAAACGCTGACATGGCATTATCCCAAAAGTGTGACAGATAAAAGATATTATTTTACCATGCAGTGTTTATATGTAAGTCCTATGTACTCCTTGCTGATTAGCATAGATAACTTATATTTATTTTATTTTTCGTCTTTAATTTAAATACAGATATTATAATAGTAAAGTAGAAGAAGGTCATGTTTCTAACAGCACTGTATTGTTAAACACAAGATATGTTAAAAAGTTTTCCACAAATTTTGAAAAAAAATTCAGCATAGACAGTTATTTAAGAGGGAAAGAAGTGATTGCAATTTCAACTGCATCCAGGTCTTCAAATACTAAAATAGAATATTTCTGTTGTCCTTTTCAGTAATTGTCTTTTTTTCTTGTCTGTGGTCTGAACTCCTGAATTACTCTCTTGTTTAAAATGAGTCAAAATCTTAGAAATACACTAAACACAATTCAGCTCTATGAATATTTGGATGCATGGTTAATGTTTTCAGGACAACCCCCAGTGTCACAGCCATACCCCCAGGCTGCCCCCCAGCCACCCCCAGGGGGTGATGTGACCACGCCCATCCTGATGTCGGAGACAAGACAACAGAACACAGAGATCAGGCTAGCCATTGGGAAGATTGCTGATAAAGTAGATGAGGTGCATAAGAAGGTGAGATGAGAATATATAATGAATGGCCAGCTCAAAAATTTCTGTGAAAAAATAGTTTTAATAAATGTTTCTTATGTATTTTAACCTAATTTGTTTTTCTGTTGTAAATGATTTTATTATAAATTTTACTTTGGTGAGCAATTTTAAGAGATAAACCAAGTATTATAATTTTTTTTAAGTTCAAGATCTGATATTCATGGTGTAAATCATAATTGTACCACCAGCGTTAGCGCTGGCGGTACACATGGTTTCGGTCCCGTCCGGATCGTTCCACCGGCTCCGCCGGCTCCGTCGGCTCTTCCTGCTCCCCCGGGNCCTCCACCCCCACCCCCACCTCCACCCCACCCCTTAGAAATAAAAGGAAAGGACCTTTTATGAAATGAATTACAATAATGATTTTTAAATATTAATCGTTACAATAGTGATTAAACATGGTACCTATGAGACATTGCATTTCAGGGCTTCTGTTCACTGGTGTCAGTGAAAACCTTGTGAAAATGTCAAATAACAATAATAATGTTAAGTTTTATATCTAGCAGAATATATAGAGAAGAATACAGGCTAAATATGTGGGTCCCATTACAACTGAAGTATATTCATGACTTTTTAAAGACCTAAATTTAAGATGTAAAGAAATAAAAAAAAAATCCAACAAAAGTGTATGAAAATTGACAAATGCAGCTGAATTATTTGGTGTTTTTGAAACAAGCATATTGATTAGCATATTAAAAGTTTTTACTTTAAACTTATGTATAATGTCTTGAAGATGATAATGGAGCTTCTTTTTCAGGAAAATGAAAGATTGAAAAAGGAAATATTTGAAAAGAGTGCAAGGATAGAGAGTCAGAATGAGAAAATTGCTGACTTATTACAAAGAAATCAGAGGTAATTACATTTTTCTGCTGAAAAAATTTAAAAACAGTATTTAAGTTGTTTTTTATTTGACAGTCAAATTATTCTTAATCATGGTTATTATGAGCTGTCAAATTTTAATTATTATAATTACATGTTGAGGGTGATCATTATTATGATCAGAATACAAAGGCAGCAGTTAGCTTTCAGTATCAGTACATGACTTTAACCATGATGGAAAGAATTGAGAATTTAAAATTGAAACAATTGATTTTGTCTATGTGATGTTTCATTATAACAATTATTATTTCCAGTTTTGTAGAACAAAGCAATGTGATGTTAGAACAGAGAAATGATACATTTAAAACAACAGCCGCCCAGTCTCAGTCCAGGGTACTGGCTCTTGAACAGGAAAAGGTAGTGTTGATAAACAAACACTATTACTTTCTGTAGGAGTATTTTTTTTTTGTTTCCAGTCTGGATTTGTAGTAGTTGATCACATTGTCACCAGACTATGACTGGTGTTCTTATACAAAGATTTGGAAAAGCCTGACAATTTTAATATAAAAAGATCTGTAAGTATGGTATGGTATGTCTAATAACTTAGTAATATATGTATCATTTAAAATTGTTGTAAATGTTAACGTCTTTGCATAGCAGACCCAAATATAATGACTATCTTGCAGTATATACAATATGTATTGAGACTGTTTTCATTGTTTTATCCATCATTTCCACCCATATTTCAGGTGCAGCTCACCACAGAATTAAGTGCGGCCACAGCACAGATCAGCACCCTGCAGCTGGAGATGAACTCTCTGAGGAAGAAAGAAGTTGAAGTAAGGCACCAGTTGTCTACATCTCTGGCAGATGGCCAACATCAAAAGGATGACCTGGATCACCTAAGGGTGCAGCTGTCAGGTATACTTCAGTTGTAATGGGATCAACACATTTAGCCAGTATTATTATCTGTAATTATTCAACTGTTTACAGCAGTTTATATGCCTACATTTTCTCCACTTGTCTTTTTTTTTTTCTACAGTGAAATTTCCTACTTTTTGCCTACAACCATCGTGACTAAATCTTTCCACTGAGTGAAATTCCTAATTCTTAATTAGCTTTTTTGCGTTACAGTTGGAGGAAATATAAAAATGATATTTTGATTTCAGAAAATGAAAAGAAGATTGAACAGCTCAACTCAAGTTGGAAAGAAGAAAAGCAGATGAAGAAGACGTTGGAGAACAAGTTGTCACTGCTGGAGGAGGAGATGGCAGAGTTGAAGACTTCCAATGAAAGTCTAGAAAAGGTATGAAACTGTAGGTTTGATAGTATCGAGTTCATTTAAGAGAATTTTAATAGATCTATTTGGTGATATTTATTATTTCCCCGTTCTTTCTGTAGTTACAAATTTCAGGTACTTATCGTCTTTAAGGTTTGCCAATTTCAAGGCAACAAATTTCTCACATCTCTCCATTCATGCTTTCCTGACTTTCTAAATAGTCTGCAAGCGACAGGAAGAAGAAAGCTTTAGAAGAAAAGAAAAGATTTGAAGAAGAATTGGAGGAAGTTAAATCACAATATGAGGTGAGTTATGAGGACTGATCCGACCAAGAGTTCTTGGACCGAAATTTACAAACCAGTATCTCAAAGAGTACCTGGTCTGAACAGAGCTTTTAAGGCCCTTTTTGAAGCTTTTTACACCCAGGACTTTAATATAAGTCTAACATAGATAAGAAATATAGTAACATGATTTGATTAATAGATACTGTGTATATCAAGTATGCTAAAATAGTAAAAATAATGAAAGAAGTCATGTCTAAGAATGAATGTTTTGATCTTTGAATTCCAGAGTGAAATTCAGATTCTGAAGGATCGGTTAAGAAAACAGAAATCTTCTACAGACAACGTTGCTGCTGAACAGGTAATATTTTTAATCTACAGGACAATATCATTATGAATAACATATATTTATAAGAACAAGATGTTGTAATGTTACAGCAGGATATTACTGTGATATCACAGCAGTTTCCTCATATAAGTTAGACAGGCAGTGGCTGGTATTAGTAAGCCTGATTGTGAGTACAATCTCCAAGTGGATGAGATAGAAAATGGGAAAGGCTTTTGTGTGCTTGTGTGTGTGCCCACAAAATAGTGCTATTCTCTGCAGGTTGCTCAAGTAGAACAGGAATTAACACAAGAATGGCAGCAGAAGTGTGACAGGCTGGTGTCTCAGGCCAATGATAAACATGCCAGAGCCTTGCTGGAGGTACAGGAAGAAAAACAACAGCTGGAGAACACAGTGCAAGAGCTGCAGACAAAGGTATGTGGGCCATGATCCCCCCCTGCCCCCCCCCCTCTCTTTCTCTCTCTCTCTCTCTCTCTCTCTCTCTCTCTCTCATAGTAGTACAAGTAGTAATAATAGCAGGAATAGTAGTAAAAGTTTATTTACTGAGGTTAAAACACAACAGGTTTATAACATATCTTCCCCATGACCCTTTAATCTCTTTTATCCAAAAAATATTTATTTGATATTTGAAGGAGTAAAATATAGAAGAGATTGATTAAAAGTGAAGCATTGCCATAGTACATGCAGTACTAATCTTTTAAGTACCAGTTGAAATTAGCTTTTAGATTAAGTGTAACTAGAATTTTTTGCTTTTGTTGTAGCTTTTAACATTGAAAAACTCCCGAGGAGACAGTGATAAACAATTGTCTGATCTACAAGAACAAGTAGAAGACTTGAAGGTTTGGAAAGAAAAGGTATTTTGTCATTCCATGAAAATTTGAACTAAAGGCATCTCCTTTCTCAACTATTAAACTAGCATACTAGTTTTTAAACCATATTTTTATGTTTCTCTGGAGAGCAGATTTTATTCATACCCCAGACATCCAACCACTTGCAGTAACTCAGACCTGCTTGTCTATTTTATCTATTATAAAATATTTTATAATATTTTATAATTCTGATCAAAGCCTTTTAATATTGAGGATTTGTATTAAGGAATATAAATCACCGATAATAAAAACCCTTTTATCAGTTGCCTAACCCTGTTTGTGACCTGGTTTATATATCTTCAGTATGAAGCCCTGCATGCCCAAGCCATCAGTATGAAACAGAGATATGAAAGCAGGATAGAGGAGCTGAACACGGAGAAAGAAGAGGCCGTCACCAGGGCTGAGGAAGCAGAAGAGAAAGCCGCAGCCCCTGCTGCCACTGCTGGTGCCTCCGCTGCAAGTGGAAATGTTTCTCCTGAAGTTTTATTGACAGAAGTAAGAACATTTACCATAGACCTACAGCTTTCCATATTTAAGCTTGACCTATGTCTGTTTATAGCATTTTTGTTAAAAAAGTACAATTTCTCCTTAGAATAATTGGAGGAATGTGGCTAACTTAGGGTGCTTTACTTTGGTTTATGATTGACACCTCAGCTTACCTTATCCAGGCAGCTGTCTACTGTTGAATTGCCTGGCATAATTTTATTCTAGAGTTCTCATTAATATAACGGCATTTCTTTAATATCATAAGCATGCAAGCACAATGTTTTGAAGCAAACGTATTCTACAGCGATCAGCATGTCATTGAATTTGTATAATTTATTTATTTAGGCCAGATTCCAAGTAAAACATTATTTTTTTTTTCTTTTTGCAGGTAAAGAAGATAATGAACTCTGTGTACCACATGCTGCGGGCTGAGTTCCAAGTTGACCAGTCCTACTTAGGGAAAGACATACTGGCCAGCTTAGTAAATGCTATCAAGGTACACTTCCATAGCACTGCACTAGTAAAAATCATGCTTCGTCTTTATTAATGAAGCAGATACTGTACAGATTACATGTAAAGTTTTCCAAAGAGCATTTGACTATGCTGTCCAGTGTATTCAGTACCATTAGCTTCTTATGACCATCAAATGAATTCTGAACACTGTATTTCCAGTTTTAAATATATGAACCTGCACTACTTAGTTAAGTTCATTGACACGTTGACATCCTATACACTGACATATTATTAGGAGCAGAAATAGTTTTACAGATTTAAATTTTTAATTGATTTTTTTCCAGAATGTAACTCTGAAACTGCAAGCTAGACAGAAGGAAAATGAAGAAGATGAAGAAGAAGAAGAATCTGAAGATGAGGAGGACGAGGAAGAGGAGGAGGAAGATGAAGAAGAAGAGGAAGAAGAAGAAGAGGAAGAAGAAGATGAAGAAAAAGACTTAAAAAGTGAACAAACTAATCAGAAAGAAGATTCACAGGAAAATATTAAGTCAGAAAGTGCCATACCAAACCAAGATGCCACACCAGCTTCACTTAGCAAGACATCAGAAGACCACCCAGAACCTGAAGTGATTCTGGAGCCCTCTAGTGGCAGTGAGTCACAGACATTTCCTAGTGATAGTGACACACAGACACCTAGTTCTAATACTACTGAAGTGCCCTCTAGTGAGACTGATTCACCAGCTCCCTCTAGTGGTGGTGACTCTACAGCCCATATAAGGGCAGACAACGACAGAAAAACTGATAGTGATGTCTTAACTAATGGAATGGAAGAGAACAATGTTGTAGAAAAGGAGGAAATAACAGATAACAGTCCAGTGGAAAATGGTGGTAAGTGAAGTAGTTAAAGAAGGTAATCTGTCTGAAATATCTCTTAGATTAATTTGAATAATTTTTTGCCTTATCAATAATCCTATTTTAACAAAATCAGAACCCCAAGTTGTTGTATATAATATATGTTTTTGTACCACAAAGTATGAATGGGGCTTCCTACCATTTGTTTTAGATCATATCCAAGAAGTGAAAAATTCGTATCATGAGCAACCGCCAGTTGTCCCAGATGCTGAAGGTAATATTTATTTAGTACAATATAATATATTGGGCCCATTCACTGAAGTCTGAACAGTGCTATAAGGTTTAGTTAAACTACTTGTACTATACTAGTATGATAGGCCAGCTTACTGATGACTGTCCATCCATGAATTCTTGCAGTACAAAAACAGCATATAGAATTATATTAGTTAGAGACAGGCGTAGATACTAGTATCTAATAAAAAAGACCATCTATGTTCCTGGTAGTGGGTATTGTTAAACAGTCTTCACAGAGATGGGAAAGTAATGTACTTTTATGTTAGAATGACCATGTTTTCTTACTTGATCGTTTTTCAGATGAAGAACCCCCAGAGCTTCCAGGAGAAAGTCCCGACAATACAGATCCTCTCTCTAATGGCATGGAGACTGCTGCTGAACAAGAAGAACCACAGGGTAGGGACTCGTACTATTTTGAAGATATTTACCATATACAGTGTATGTGGTTATTTTGTCTTAGTAATTGCCATAGGCCTGTGATGGAGCTGTAGGGAAATTATGTCAAAAACTGCATAGCCATACAGGACCTGCCATATAGTCTTATATTGTTAAGTTCTTGGGAATGATGATTGTCAAAGACTCTTGTGCTTAAGTTATTAGGTTAGACATTTTTGGATAGACTTGTAGGTATATTGTCATTTTAAAAATATTTAAATTATTTAAAGTTTTAAGTAACCCATCTCAAAGCTCAAAATTGGACTTTTGCTCACTTCAAATTTTTTTTACATTTATTTTTTATTTATCTATGTGAAATATACAACACTTAGTACATTTGCTGAAGTAAAAGGAAAAAATTCACAGTTCATTTTTGTTTTATTTTTAAAGAAATGCCCCCTCTCTATTCAAATCAGACAAGATTTATATTGTTATTATTTTTTAATTGTTTAGCTTCATTAAAAGACATGGTGCAGCAAGCAGTGAGCCAAGAGAGCACAGAGGCAGACATTGATGATAGACCAGTGCCGCCCCCTATGAACAGGTGAGAGAAAGACTGCTTCAGCTGAAAGTAATTTCATTAATTAAGGAACAGAACAGAATGCTAGCATTTTACCTACTTAGTTATTCTTAAAAAGTTGTAACAAACATTTGGGTGCTTTTCAGTGAAATCCAAGTATTTTTCTTTCAGTATGTTGTCAAAAAAAAAAAAAAAAAAAAAAAAAAAAAAAAAAAAAAAAAAAGCAACTGCCACTCTCTCTAATAAATGCCTTGAACACTTCATGCTGACCCTTGAGGTGTTCTGGTATATATATATATATATATATATATCAATAAATTAGGCATGAGACCAAGAACTTTTGATGAAGGGTTGGAATTTTGTTTTCAATTTAAGTGAGTTGAATAAGCCTTGAAGTGACATTGAACACACCAGAACACAAAACAAAAAATAATTTAAAAGTTCTGAAAAAATAGTAATTTATTGAGATATTTTATTCAAACTTCAGTTCTTTGTTTGGGGGCGATGATGAGGATGACGATGACTTGTTTGGGTTTGCTGTGCCTACAGAGCCTGAGGCTGAAAAGAAAGTGGCAGTGGCAAAGAAGGAAGAAGAAGAGATTGTGAGTTACTCTTAGGCAGCTTTAGGGAACATACTAAATGTTAAAACAAATTAAAAAGAGATAATAATTTTCCCCACAAATTTCATCACTTTTCCCTTGATCACCAAGCTATAACATATCTAAAACCATTTACAGAATCACAAACCATAAAAGTCGTTTGTGACCTCTTAGTATTTGAATCAGTCTTTTAGTAGAGGTGGATGCTGGCCAATTATTGACACCATGATACAGTTAAAATTGAAATTTAGAACACAAAAATGGGTTTATTCGTCATGATTTTCTCAACAGTTTTGGACAGGATATAACTTGATAAAATTAGAATTGCTGAAATTTCTAAGGAATTATTTTGTTGCTGTGTTTAAGTTTAACACACATTGTATATCAGCCCTGCTTCTTTAGATAAAAACTTAGAGTATGGAATTTACTATGGTGCATTTAATTTTTCTAATATTAGATGAGAAGGATGTTTTGGGGATTGATCATTAAGTGATCGTGACAGAGCAAAGTAGCTTATTAAATAGCAGCTTTAAGCATTTTGAAATAATCATAGTATATTGATCTAAAACAAATTTGGTTTTGACAGTAAAGGTAAAATTATGGATTTTAATATATCGCATAAAACTATGCCTAGGCATCTGATCTAATTATCAGGAATGCTCATATCAGAAATGTAGTTTTAGACCTGGTTAACCTTGTGAGCATGCTGTTGCCCTCTTATTTAAACACCAAAGAAAACAACAACAATGGCTGGATCTTTATATTTACAGGATCCTACAAAAGACAAGCCACCACCTCTGTTTGGTGACGAAGATGATGATGACGATTTGGATTGGCTGAGTTGATGACAGCTCACCTTTAAGCAAAATTTAGAGATTAAAACATGCTCTAATGAAAAGTTTGCAGTCATTTTGATCATTATTTAGTCCCATAATTTAAATTTATTGTATCGGAGAAGCGATTTTGTTATCACTTCTTAAATTTGACTTGAATTGATCAGTCTTATTTCCAGAAACAATGTTATAATTGTAATGCCTGAACATGAGTTGTAAAAGTAAATAGGCTAATGTCAAATATTTAACTTTATTTGTGTGGGAATGACACCAAAAATGATCAAGACAATCTGCACTTCAGTAAAATGATAAACAAGCTGAACTTAATTAATTTTTTGTTGGCATTATTTCAGAAGAATTGACCAAAAGTGAAGTTTTTACAGAAATTGTTTTGATGGGCTATTAAAGGGAAAACTTAAACAGAAAACTTTGATCAAGGATGATACAAGATTTTTTATCATGAAAATTTATAACGGTGCAGGGTGATGTTTGAGTTGACCTTTGTAAAAAAAGATAATTATATAAAAATATTAGAAATAAATGCAGTAAGTTGTTATGCATTCAATTCCATCACATTGCCAATAAATATTTATCTTTTAAAAATGAAGTCTTGAGATATCTGTAGAACTTCCATTCTAACTGTTACAAAGTTTTACCTAATTTACACAGCAAGTTTCAGAAATTACTGGAAACTTATCTCTATGATCAACCTTTGGGGTTTTAAGTAACCTCTGATTAAGAGACAGATACTGGACATGGAAGGGATCCAGATAGTAGACAGGTAATTTAACTTAAGTTTATAATCTCCTTTGAAATTTTGGGCTTCTTTTATTGCTCAACAGCAAGTTTTACTTGTAATATGTAAGTCAATCATATTTTAACAATTCCCTAGTATTTAATTTCTGGTATAATTATTCACAGGGATTTTAAGAAGAGAGGAAGATTGAACCAGAAATGTATTTTTCTCTGTTGACAAAAATTACCAAAAGGTAACTTTCTTATCTGGGTAAACATCCAGTCATGTAATTATGACCTAGCTTTTAGAGTTGCCCAAATTAAAATTGTCATTTCAAATGGACTTATAACCATCTTATATAATTCCTATTATATATAGATATTTTCACATTAATTAATTTTACAAGAGGGAAAGCTAATACTTTCAAGTTCATTTTTATTCCTTTTTTACATGAACATTACTTCAAATTGTTACAGCTATAACAATATCAAAAAAGTTACAAAGGAGTTTTAGGCTTTACTTCCATATTTATATGAAGTAAAAAAAAAAAAATCCAAAAGCCACTCACACATATTCTTACAAAAGCACTGCTTCCAGAAATAAATAAGTTCTAACTATCCATGATTCACAGTTTGTAGTATTAGTGCAATGCAACAAAAGAGAACAGGAGAAAATGAAAGGAAATCACTTACAGAAGTATAGGTCTGCACTCTGAGGCATGATTGTTTTGTCACTGACACATTCACAAAAACAGCACAGGTCAACATATTTCTGCTCTTGCTAATATTCAAAACGTGTCATGCACATCGGTGTATCCTGTATCTATCTATAACTTACAAGAGTTTGAAAATGTGATATATCACATGAAAACAGTTCCTCTTCAAGAAAAATGATAGTTGTTTTAAATAGTAATGACTTAAATTATGAGAAAAAAATAAACATGCTGATGAATTTGAAGTTCAAATTACTATGGAATTATAAGTACAAATGGCACTTTGGTACTATGATATGTATGTAGCAACAAAGTAGTCCAAAAGTGTCTGTATATAAAAAAGAGTAACCTGCAAGTAAGCAGGTAAATAATCTATCAGGGAGTCAATGACCAATCTTCCATTTCGCATACCTCTCAGAAGAGCCTTTTGAGCTGGAGCTGTTCTATTGGGCTTCTTCAATAAATCCAGGAGCAAATTTGAAGGTGCACAGTGCAAGATTTTCAAGCCAGAAACTAGATCACAATAATAAATTTTTCTGTGGTAAATGGTATTTTCCTGACCTTTGCAACAAATTGAATTACTTAGGGGAAAAGGAACCTTTCACCCACACCTAAGAGATGGTGTTTCACATTCCACCATCACCTCCAACTCAATTCTTGCACTGACTTCTGGATTCAGCACGTTTTAAAACTGTCAAAATGGTTGACAGGTGGTTGTAGATTTTATTTTAAAAGATTAATCTGTCAAAATATGATCAAAAGGTAAAAATAACTTGTCCTCAGATATGTTCAACAGGAAGTGGCCTTTGTACTTAGTATGCTTAAACCCCTAATATACATTTAATCACTTTATAAATGATAGCATTTTTTCAAAATTCCCAATTAGTCACACATCTAATGTAACAATAGAGCTATCCCTTGTAATTATATTTTAATTCAGTTGTAGCATGATGGATTTGCCAAAGCGATCCAGATACACACACTGTTTGAATGGGAATATATAAATAGTCAAAACCCCCAAGCAGTAGGTTAGGTGTGACATACTGTGGTATTGTGTTCACTACCACAGCATTTTTTCTCCGTTTCATAACCCACCATGTCCCCCTTCCAGGTACAGCAGATACTAACTTACAGGAGTGTCACCTGACAAGATAGAATGCTCAATTGGCTTGATATATCACACTGCCTTCCACTGCCTGTGTAACATTTTGCAAGGACGGTCTTCAATCATGCAAGCAAATCACACTGCTGGATGCATTTTTAATTTAAAAAAAAATGTTTCATTTTGTATAGTTTCACAGTATAGTTAAGTATACCTGTTTCCCTTTCACACAACTACTCTGCTGACTTGATGACATCCATGACTCGGGTAGAAGTGATGGAAAAAATAATTACTAAGCCCAACTTTTGTTGCCTCTGACCTTTTGAATGAAGAATGTCCAGCCTACTACTCCTTGGATTTTTTGGCATAGACTTTGGTCAATTTAAGGCAAAGAAGGCATACTATACTATACTATGAATCTAAGTGAACTGAAACTTTCAAGTTTAAGTACATGAGATCTAGTATTATTTGGACTGCATGCAGTGTGTTATTGGTAACTGCATGGGTGAAAGTTTTCAAGATTATGCCCGATTTCAGGATTTACAGTCTTCATTTTGATCATTTTTTTCATATTGTGAGAAATTGCAAGCTACATTTTCAGCATTTTCAGTTTTTACAACTTTCACCTATTTAACTGTCAGTCCTTTGTCATTCTTGGGTCCAACTGTCCCGTCATTGTCCAGCAAGATGCTTTGAAAATAAAATAACATGTCACAGACATATTAAATGTACATCCTAAGTGGACCATAAAATACATGAAACATTAAAAGTATAAGCAACCAAACCATATATAACATGTCAAATACATAAAATTGCCAGCATCTCCAAATTGCTTTGAGAAATATAATGCTGAGCTAGAGATATTTTGTCACACAATATAGAATGACCTTTTTCTATAATATTTTATAAGTTTATAATTTACAAGACAGTAAATCATGATCTTACCATCTTTTTCACTCAGCTGCACAATGCCCTTGTACATTATTTACAGAATACTTCAAGGCAAAGCTCATCTTCCAAGAATTTTCCATCAATTAGAAACGCATTTGCTTATAAAATTCAAATAACATTTTACAAGGAGACAACATTTGTCAAATCTCACAAAAGGTATGCCACGGCCATCAAGTCCAATAATACCTGTACCATCAATTACTGCTTTGACATCTTCCATGCAGTTCAAGACTGAGCAAACTAGGTATACACAAAGCATCATTGCAAAGAAAATAAAAAAGATCACCATACACAAAATTGATCATGACAAAAAAGATTCCTCTCACAATGTTTGTCTAAGGCCATGTCATGGTACATGATTCAGTACTTTGTTATCAATCAAGTTTTTATTGTTTGTTCTCCCCTGACATGATATAGTGAAACAAGATCACCGACAACAATCCAAACAAGGAATGATACTTTAACATTGATCAAATAAATGTCTCCTTTTAGTCAAGTAACCAGGTAAAGTTTATAATGTGGCCATTCTCGTCTCTATGGAGTATATCAAAATATTGCATTCAATGAGCTGAAGAAATTCTTCATTTTGAATCATATTCACGGTCATGTCTCTACATGGATAATTCTCTTTTGCTGGCAAGTCTCAATGAAAGCAGTTCTTCTAGCCAATCTCTACCGTCAGGAGGAAGGTTTCACTTCTACCATGTTGACATCATCTTCATCATCTGCTCCAGGGAAATCCTCAGGACCCTTGAATTTAATAAATATCATAAATTATGATGTCATTTTAAAAAATCTGTTTTATTCATCCGAGTAACCTTTGGTGCAGTTATAGAACCTTGAGTCCTGTCCAGTAAAATGTTTTTTTTATCCCAAACTTTAATCATTATTAAAAGGTTTTTTTTTTTTTTTGTTGTTGTTTCAATGCATTTACAATGTATCTATGTGAATTTGGACATTTTATCAAAAGAAATGTCCATTAAAAATTCTGACTTTCATAACCACTGAGGTGAAGGTTTTTGGTCATATATAAGTGTTGTTAGCAAGCTAGACAACTAGTTTTGAGTTAAATACCACATTAAAAAATATGTAAAACACCTCCATCTGGCAACAGTCTCATTAACCCTGCTAATTACCTGCTCAATTTTTTCATCCAACATTTTGAAGAATTCCACTTGACTCTGAGTGACAGTTCTGAAAGAAAAATAAAATATACCTTGTGAAATCTTCTCTCATTTCATATTGTATTCAGATCTGGTATATGTGAACTATTTTATATCAAAACTAAGCCACTCCATGTTTGATTCAGTGTGCCTCTTAGTTGGTGTTGGGCTGTGTATCTTTCATTTCTATCATGCAATATGATCATCCTGGATATGTGCTAATTTTGATAATATAAGTATTTATAATTTCCTAGAAAAGCTGAACAAACAAGACTTCTACATACATCACAGCTGAAAAACAATTCTTAAGGTGTGCGTGTGTTTTTTTTAAAAATAACAGCCATAGAATGATTATTCGTTGCCTGTTGACTCATACCTTCCACAATGTTCATCTCATTATAGTAAAGAATTTTACAGAACATAAGCAATTACCCTCAACATCACCGACTTGGCCAAGAAAACCTCATATGAATGCAACTCCCATTAATTTAAAGCAATTTTTCAAATTATCAAGTGAAAAATCTGGAATAATCTGAGATGGCAATAAAAAGTCTCACATAAAATTCACTGGATTTTGCGGTAGTTGCAATTGGAAGAGTGCGGTCAGAGATAACAGGGAGGCCATCTAGTGTGGTGCAGCAGTGATTAAGCTGACATAATTTCTGGTGGTTTTCTCTGAAGTTCAGTCGACAGAACACCTTTGGTACAACAGTTACAAATTCATCACATTTTGCATGTCTTTTTTAAGATACTTTCAAAGACAAAATTCATGGCATATAGAGTTGACCCCTTATCGCTGAAAAGTTTACTCCATCTTGTGATGATTCTCATACATTTTCCGATCTTCCGCAGCAACTTTTTAGGCTACCTCAGATTCGGTATTTACCCAATATATGGTCGATGATGCTTCAAAAACAATATGCACATTAAGAAAAGGGCAGTCTCATGTTAGTATAAGTAACCTTGAGTTTTTAGCACATTAAAAATATGTTTAGCTTTTAGAGATCCTTCCTGAAAGACATACTGCTTTACACACCACATTTCTAACGACAAAGGAAATTGTCTTTATCACAAGCACTATCCATTACATATACAGAGGAATTCTAAACTTTTCCACGCCAGTGCTATAAAATTCTCTCCGCTGCACTCTGCAGATCAAACTCCCTTTATTTCACTTTTACACCAGGATTGTTCAAAGGGCACTTGCCATTCACTTTTTCTGTGCAAGTGCACAATTTTACACACTGATGCTTCTTGGGGAAATGTAAAAAGCTTTTTTTATCAAGTGTAAACCTTTGATACTTTTTGTGCATGCATGTCTGGTCACAGAATCCTGGACGTTGTGAAATGGGACTTTTCTGCAAATGTTTCACTGCACAGACTTCACAATCTCCCAGCAGGATCTGCATGTATATGTTCTAAATGATGCAGCATTTTAGGGGAAAGAATTATAAAAACAAATATTCAAAACATCTGACACGTCTTCCCCCCCTTCCCACCCATTTTACAGTTGTCTCGTTAAAATGTTGAGTCTCAATATGCATGACACATCATCCCTCTTCAAAAATAAAATTTCAGCATGATTTCCATTCCCCAGTTTCCTCTACATGACAAATTCTTCGGAACCTAAAAACCTATAATAGTAGCTACATAGACAATATGTAATGCCATCGCTGACTTAGGATGATGCTCATCAAAAAGATGATAAATTGTTCTTCAAATCTTTCCCAGGACGTCTACACTACGCTCCCAACAGATGTCTGCACATCCAATGTGATTAACTTGGAGTGGTCCACAAAATGCAATGTTATCCCATATTTCCATAAAATCAATAGTAATCTGTTGAAAATGGTTATTTGCTTCTAAAGCATGTTCATCGTATCGTGGGTAAACTGGCTGTGACACAATTTATGCTCTCAGTGGTAAGCTGAAATTGTGGTTTAATCTGTTCAGGTTAAATTTCATTACAGAAAAGTTCTGTTATTTGACTAACTGTGTGTCTTCACTCAGTCAGTGGAAAGGACTTATGGCTCACTCCCAGTGAAACTATTGTTCTATGTTGATTGAGCCAACTCTGCAAAGGACTCTTGCTAAATGCAATCAGTTTAACAGATTAACATGCCTCCTCCTGGTGTTACTCTTTATCTATTTGCATTTTTCTGTAGCCCCAAAAATGCAAATTTCAGCATGACAATTATGAATCTACTCATCGATTCACTTAAAATGTACTGAGCCCTAGTCATAAGATAAAATAAGCTAGAATTAAGACAGCGAATGCTATAAATTGTCCCTTTAAATGCAAGGTCAATAACAGTTCATATTCTACTAATATGATTGACTAAAGGTTGATTTACACCCAGACGAGTTCTGAATCTCTTATTCACAATTTTCTCACGTACAATAAGGGGCCTAGATGACATTAAACCCATCCTCATTTCATGGTTTGAGGTCTTCTTACTCTATCTAAATCAATAACTGGGATTAAATACGCACAATTCTTAGGTTGGGCAAGCTATGAAATAATAAAAATTCATAAGTGTGAAATCATTCACTTCTCCTTAGTGCACTTTTCATTCATTTTATGTCCTAAGTCCTTAAAATAAATGGAAAATTAACTTCTGGGGTCACCTAAATTACTCTCTGCTTTAATCTACCTCAACTGCTATAACTACATGTATCTGAAGTCCCTAATCTGACGCATTTCCACCAGGAGAGGAAAAAACTAAGACGCATTTTTGGTTGTTTGGAGACACAAGTGTAGCTTCAGATTTCAGAGTCTTGTGTCACTGACCATTTTTACACACAATAGCTAAATTATTTCTGCAAATAAAGGTATATTAGTAAACTCATAGAAATGTAAATTACAATGACTTGCATACATGTATTTAAGTCTTCATTTATTTGACAAAAAGGAATCATCTTTGACGTTGTACGTCAACATCTCATTTTCTACCCTGGGGTAGCGCTAACACTCGCCAATTTAGCCAAATGCTAAAACTGACTTAAATTGGTTAAAGAAAAAAGGCTTGATTTGACATGTTTGAACCAAATTATAACCATTTTGATAACAAATTGACAAATATTTGGTGATTGGGCAAAGTGAAAAAAATTGCTAGCGCTACCCCAGCTACCTACTCTGCCCTGTAAAATTAAGAAGACAAAAGATTTTCCCAAGTTTGGCTTACAGTAACAAAACAATTTGCACTCTCATTAAATGTTGATTTTTTTTCATCAGAGTGCATGCCTCAATTAAATCAATCCTTCCCTCCATTTCAATTAGTTCCTACTGTATTACAGAGAGTATCAAATCAACTGATAATTTCATAATTCAGGGTAATCCTAGATGATGTGGAAAAGCACTGGTAGCACACTGTTTAATTCTAAGGTTCACACTTCATCAACAAATTTAATGCTCTTATGTGGACATACAAAAACAAGATGCTGCACAATAAATCTTTTTTCTCACAAATATATTTCATTGTATTGTAAGTTGGGTAGACATATTGGCATATAACTTAAAGGACTACAAAGGGGAAATTTAATCATAGTTCATTAATTAATAAGAATTTTAATCTCTATACACCTTTATACTATACAAGGATATTCAAAAAGAAAACGAGACAATTTGTGACAAAAAGTTGTCATCAACACACTTTGAAGTTAGGAAGTATATGTGTAGTTTTGGAAATGATGCGCTATATTCTGAAGTGCTTACATGTTGTAACATAAATGAAAATTATCAAACAAAAGCCGAAAATCTTTCCATACCGTTAACTTATGCATACCTGGACGTAGGCCTTCATCGGACTTAAGTGAGATATTGTTACTTACTGACCGCTAGGTGGTATAGTGACCCGGACCCTTGTCTAAATATCAGGAAGATTGACCCCCTGTCCGTATTGACCCCCTGTCTCTATGGCTGGTGATAGCTGATGTTGATAGGTTGGCTGTGGCTGTAAGCTAACGGTATAAAAGGTTTTTCCGTACGTGTTTGATAATTTTCATTTATGATACAAATACCAAGCTGATGAACATTTTTACTTATAATACTTACATGTTAGATTGCAAAGGCCCAGAAAGCACTGGCTTGTCTTTGAAGGCAGTCTTCGTTGAGCTTTTTTCCTGGAATACAATATATCAGAATGTAAAAAAAAATGTTCTATGAAATTTAATGATTCAAAACTAAAGTATTATAAAATGTGTTTTTAAAACAATTGTGCAAACTAAAGATGGCAAAAAAGGAAGTTGTTTCTATAGACTTAATATTTTTGTGGCATTATGTTTGGATCCTCCATTAAGGAGCCAAGGTTGATCCCAGGACTATGATCAAATCTCTTGGATGAAGAGCTGAAATATCCTGGCACAGGGGATAAAAAAGGTTTGATCACTTTAGATACAATTACCCTTTTTTGTAAATCATGAACCCGAGTATTGTTAAATATTTTTAAGGTAAAATTATTAACCAAATGTTTTAATTAACTATTGGATGCTTGAACGAGCAATCACTTATACTGGATTTCAGTGACGTTAGCAGCACATATATGCAGTTAAACAAATTACACAGAAGAAAAAAAACATCCCAATGTTTTTAAAAGTTACACCATTGGTTCATTTCTATTCTATAAATTGTGATCAATGTTCTTACTAGTACTCAGATGTTGGAGATGGCAGCATAATTACAGAGATTGAATACACATTTTAAAATGCGAATTAGCATCTCTTTTTTTTTCTTTTTTTTTTAAAGATGACTTCACACTTCTATTCTATACTGGGGTGATATAGTTCTTTCATTTATAGTCTCATGCAGCACTCCACATCTAACACAGTACCATAGCTGACATCAACAATGTCATGCAATTAATTGCTAAGAGCCATTTTGCCAGACATTGTGTCTAAGCTTGTTGCCACAACATATAACCATAATGAAGGTAATGGCAACAATTTTTCTGATAATTGAACTTAGCAGGAGAAGGCAGCACAGAGCACTAAAATGTCTTGTAATTCCCAGACTTCAAAATGTGCCAAGTCCATTTTTGTTGATTATTCATTGATCTCTTGATGTTTTGTAACCTATGTCATGACTTAATATTACGCTATACTAATGGAAGCTGATCCAAAGTAAAATGGCTTTTCAATCTGCATGCATTTTTTTCTTCTTTATATGCCTTTTTAACTACAATAACTCCTCTTTCCCTCTCTCTCTCTATCTCTCTCTCAATCTTCTCTCCTTTCTTCCATTCATCTTTCTCTATTCCCCAGGTCTACAGGGGGTTGAACAAACTGCCCTACTAGTTGAGAAAAGGTCTACTATAAATCAAAATTTGATCTAGGTTCTATACCAGTATGGTAAATGGTCCACTTTCTCAGGAAAAAAGATACCACCTTACTACTACAGTTGCAAGTGCCTGTATTTAAACAAAGTGAGCACATGATTGCGAATGACAGTGAATCGATAACACTGATCCCTCTCCAGATCCCAGCAGATCTGGCACAGGGAACAGGAAGGTCACTCTGTAGTTGTTATTTGATGTGGCATAGGGAACAGGAAGGTCACTCTGTAGTTGTTATTTGATGTGGCATAGGGAACAGGAAGGTCACTCTGTAGTTGTTATTTGATGTGGCATAGGGAACAGGAAGGTCACTCTGTAGTTGTTATTTGATGTGGCATAGGGAACAGGAAGGCCACTCTGTAGTTGTTATTTGATGTGGCATAGGGAACAGGAAGGCCACTCTGTAGTTGTTATTTGATGTGGCATAGGGAACAGGAAGGCCACTCTGTAGTTGTTATTTGATGTGGCATAGGGAACAGGAAGGCCACTCTGTAGTTGTTATTTGATGTGGCATAGTGGACTACAAGGCCACTCTGTAGTTGTTATTTGATGTGGCATAGTGGACTGGAAGGCCACTCTGTTGCTGTTATTTGCAAGAGTCATCATCATCGTCACCATCCTTTGGCCACAAGGCAGGGCTGTTTTATCATGGTCTTTTTTGTCCAGCATGTGGATCGACAGATTAATGGGGAAGGTTAACGAGTCATGAGGCCTATGTGTTTACGCCACATATTGTATATATATATCATTATTTTGGGGACAACATAAAGTTACATAAATTATATATATTATATATGTACACCATTCTGGGGACAACATGGAGTCCCAATTAACAAAAGATTATTTTTCAGAATTCCACTCAATCAGCAGGATTTTAATCAGTGGCCTTTATTGGTAGACAGAAAGCTTTTGAGAATACTAAGTGGTTAACTATGTTTTCAAGGCTCTAATAAAAAGCTCTGTCCCTTTAAGAAAAAGCCATGGCATGTTATACGGTACAGGGTACAATAAATACACTATATACAAATTTAAATGATAATAATTTAAAGGGTTTGTCATTTTTTGCACAGCTTGCTTCAGTGAATACAAATAGTAAGAGATCATACACAGTAGTAGTGTTTTGAACCATCCATTTATACACGCTATGTTCAAAACATGTAAACACATAGCAACAAGCCAGTAAGTGATATGTCATACCACCTATCTCTATCTGATAAAATGCTAGATGCTGAACCAGTCCCTTTAAAATTAAAATGCCCCCCCCCCCCATCATCCATGCCATTTGGGGACATAGAATACCATCATATGTGCATTAATAACAACACAGTGCCTTTTTAATGGATAACACACATCTCATTTAGTATGTGTCCCACAGGAAAATGTGATGATTTATGAATGGTTTTGTTCATTCACCATATGAATTATCAAGGTGTAAATCATTCAAACCTAAAAGGTATGCTAAAAACTCTAAATAACTTCAGGTCACAAATAATAATAAAATTTAATGTAGCATGTTCATATTTGCAAGTTTTATTATCTTGAAAACCGCATTAAAACCTGACAAAAATCAGTGACTCATAATAATCACTGGGTCTTGAAAGTGTCTGCCTTTATCCCTAAAAAAGGATTTCCATGGCAACACAGATTAATGTTCTTTGTTCACATTCTGTTGGTGCAGTATGGGACAAATTTTTCTGAATCTCATAAAACTATGTTGATTAATAATACAGTAATTATACTTAGCTTCATGTAACAAGTAAGACTGTCGCTAAGGACAACACACCACTTACTATCTTAATTAATTAGACTAAGTGCTTAGTAAAGATTCTGGATAGAGTAATTAATTGCCAACTCTACAGTTGCTGCCATATACACATATTTTAGGGGTACGTGAGCATACATACACACATACATACATACATACATACATATCTATATTAGCATGTGTGCATTCATGGTTTTACTGTGAATTCTTACTTTGAGACTACTACTGTTTGATGGCAAACATTTGCTATAAGTAGCTACCCTTCTGAAACCACTTCAGCAAGGAATAAGCAGTATCTGGCAAGTTCACCCACCTTCTTCTCTTCAAAGCTGTCCTCTGTTGAGTTCTCTTCGTGTGAATTCTGACTGACCTTGCCATTCTTGCTTCCATTGCGATCCTTTTTGGATTTTGGATCTTTGTTTTCTTTTCCATCTAAAATATCCAATATATCTTTTTTTAATTTTTTTTTTTTTTTTAAAATCTGCCACAAGAATATTTTGAAGCATTGGGTATTAAGCAACCCTTAAATTTGGAGTGAAGATGTATTTCATTGAGAATGAAAACCACTTTTCTTCTTTCAAGTGAAATGATTACATAACATTCATGACCACATATTTGACAAATGACATTTTCACGTTACAAAAAAACATATATTAAGATCATGTCTGCAAATGTACTTTTCTCGCTATAGCTAAGTTTATTTACGGAGCAATGAAAAGCAGAAAATAAATGAGAAATTTGCCACCATTTATCAGCGATGCTGTTAAAAAAATGTTATTTCTTGAATAGTAAAAATTGCAATCTGGACTACAAACATTAGAAACATTTCCACTAACTGTTAATTCCGTTAGAGTTCTTGTCTTTGGTGTAATTATCTGAGTTGTCATCGGTAGTTGCGACGCTCTTACTACGTCCACATCCCATTTCATTCCATTGTAGCATCGGGAAGGCAGCTTGGGACAGTTAGCACTCCTCACCTCCTGCAGTATATAATGTCAATGGGCAGGGCTTTGTCTAGGCTGCAAGTAGATAATCAAATATGTGAAAATATATCAAATCAAAGAATTCCTATCAACTAGTTAACGCAATTTTTTGTTATTATAAGCTACTCATATGTGGCTCATCTGAAATACGTATGATAACTACACTTGTGATGAAATGCCTTTTTCATGTTGTTTTAGGGTTACCAAAAAATCTTTGAGAACATTTTTATATCAAGGCCTCTCTGCTTTTTTTTTTTTAATTTTGAAAACATGATGAATCAAATCAAGTTAAGCAGCAAATGAGTTTGTCCTTGGCACACTGTTTGAATAAAATAGCTAAGAAAGAGTTCAGTGGAGTTATGCAAGGGCTGGTCTACAATGATGTTCATTTGCCAGGGACTGATTTTTATTTTTTGCCCAAAGCCAGACAAAATTGATAACGTGGACCTACTTTGAGGAAATCATATTTTCCAGCGCTCTCATTTTTTTCAAATGGTAAAAAATGGATTGGGAATTGTTTTCATAACTAGTAGAAATTTACAACTTACTGAAAAAAAAACTTAATGAACCTATTGTTTATTAAATTTTACATCTGTTGACCCTTTTCACTGTGAATCTTTACTATAGTTAGTCAATTCTCAATTTTGTCAGGCCTAACCACACCTTTTTAAAGTTGTGTTCCTCTTTTTTTAATTAAAATCATGTACACGCGCAAGTATGTACATACGCAGTAAGACATACAGGCCAATGACTTTTTGTGACCTACAAAATAACACAATCATGTTAATCACCCAGTAGTTGATCAAAATAAAGCAAGCTCACCTTAGGCTGCTTATCCTGCATAGAAATGTTAACTAACCAAATCATGAAGTGATCACATGGCGGGAAATCAATTAGATATCCACCTTAGTATAATTTTAAATTTAGAATCCATCTTTTCCATTCCCTGCCTTTACTAGAACTAGTAATGATCAACAGATTTTATATACAATATAATGGTATTTGAATTATATTTCTATAACCCACTATACTATAACTCACTATTATATATATATATATATATATATATATATATATATATATATATATATATATATATATATATATATATATATATATATATATATATATATAAATGGTATTTGAATTATATTTCTATAACCCACGAACTCTAACATAAAAAAATAAGTGTTCTGAGATAAATATCTTATTTTTTGTTCAGGAATTTTTTTTATATATTTCTTAATAATATTGTGTAGCCACTAAAAAGAACTGTATAAGAGTACCTCAGGAAGTTGCTTGTGACTTACAAGTAAAAGCATGTAATTAGTCTTCCTTCAATGGTTTTCAAACTGAAACAGTGATTATGTTTCGTTCACTACATGTCCCATAAAAATCAATGAAAATATAGTAACATCCTCGATTCAAATAGTTGACAGGTAACACTTGACAGGTGAAACTTTATCTTTTTCAACAGCTGAAACCAATTTTTATCTTTTCCAAAGTTTTAGGTCCAGGTAAGACTACTGACATTGACAATCAAGAACAGAGTGATATTTTATCAAGAGTAAACAAATTATTTCCTTTCGTCTTTCACAAACTCATCGTCTTCAGTCTTCAGGTCAAACTCAAAGGTAATAGCTGATGGATCATCTATCAAATCTACTTAATTCCAAGTTTGCCTAATTTGGACCAATCTTCATGTTTTTAACAATCCATCAATTACCTTTTGAGTTATACTGTCAGCTAACTGACCAAGAAAAAATAACATAAAATAACAATAATAATGAGGAGGTAAAAGTATAATAAAATTATTTCATGTTTTTGAGAAGATACTAGTGGAAGATTATTCATTATATGTAGCTACATCAAACAAAACTGGTAAAAAAAGGAAATGAAAACAGATTTCTAACCTTCTTAATCTAGTCCACAGGTGCTCACAAATTTATCCGCATTCTAAATACATATAAAAATATTTAATATGAATGTTCATCTACAGTTTTTTAAATCTCACCTTTGTCTAAACCTGCATGACTGCAGTGTTTGAAATTTCAACATTAGAGTTCTAACACAGAGCTGATATCATTTTCAACAACTCCAAGGTGCTGTAAGCTGTGTTATATATACCCATACATATAAAGTCATGTATCATAGACTGCTGTCCCAGCAATACTGGACTTCAAGACTTTAATTTCCCTCGGTTCCTTTGGTCAGTTCTTGTTTACTCCTCTACATATATATTACAAGGGTGACCACAAGTCAAAGGCCATCGGGCAACCAATGATCAAAAGCCGTAACTATACAATGTACACTGGGATTGGTACTACGTCATTCAGGAGCATTATTGTCGTCAAAAGCAGTAACTAGCAACATTAATAACGCCCCACATATAAATGGCGAGACTTGTTGAACTTTGTTTTGTTTGTAAACGGCAAACAATTGGTTCATAAAACACTGTGCCCATGCCCCTGTGATGTAATACCTGTGAACCTGTAAACCTGCTCTCCAGGTGCACACTGATCAACAATATTCCAATTTAATTTGTCATAAACGCACAAAGATTTGCACCTTATTTTCCGTTCATGGTTTTAATGCATATTTGTTAGGGAAAATTAACAAAACATTTTACTCCCTATTCAAAATTCTGTCCCTTAGAAAATCCAGTATAAACTAATACTAAGTATGTACTACGTATACACAGAACACTTCTCACAGAAGACAAGCATTGCATCATCTGAAACATTTATTTCTTTATGTTTTGAACTTCTGGAAAATAAGACATTTTCACCTGTTCTAGGTAAAGATGCTGCTTTTTTACATGTACAAATAAAGGTGGAAGTCTAAACAATTTGTGTTTAATTCATCAGTTGACTTCACAGCTGTAATCTTTATTATGCATCATTCCATCACCCTGAACATCAGAGGTTTCACAGTGACTCAGGGAACAAAAAAGGAGAGGGGGGGGGTGCTAGCATAACCCCTCAGATAACCTAGCTGTACTTCTGGCCTGGAATCCATAAATGGAATGAATGATCAATAAATTCTGTTAGACTTACCACCCACTAGACTTTGTTATTCAAACAGTTCAGTGCACTTATGGAGATCAACACATAATCAGATATGGTAAAGTACAGGGAAAGTGGTGTATATTTTTAGTGCACCTTTTCAGGCAGCAGATCTATATTAAAAAAATGGGCATACTTCCAAACTATGCCACAACAGGTCTTGCAAGAGTATGGAGAAAGGACTGACATGTTCTGAAGAGATACCTACTAGTAAGCCTGTAGTTCACCCAAAAATAATGCTCAAATCCTTCCAACAAAGTGATAAAATTTCAGACAATGCCAACCCTTTGGTCACATAATGTACATCAGGCAAAGCAATTAGTGTAATTCTGTAAACCATGTTTAATTATCTGTAAAAAGATCAATATATAAACAGAACACTTAGTAACAACATACATGTGGTGTAGACTTTCTCTTACAGCCATCCAGAGACCTGATCTCTTACTACTTCACCTCACGTTCTGTCATCATATCAAGCCAATAAACCTGGCCACATGCCATATTGGAACTTTGATCCAAGTATCATTGAGTGTGTATGCCAAACAGGTGACATAAACTAAGGAACAGAAATACACCATGACTTACCTCTGCCCCTGTCTGTACCTGTCTGCAAAAAAACCATGTCAATCTCTACTTTAATTCTCCAAGCTACATAATTGTTGTATGTGACAGCCATAATTAATTTTCTCTGTTGGATTAGATCTTTCACTCAGACATAAAAAACTATGGCAATAAGAAAGGGAATACAACAAACATAAAAAATACAAATCAAAGATAGTTCATCAAATTATAGCATTGCATAATTTAGCAGAATAACTAAATCTCTGAAACATTTTCTTAATATTGCTGTAACCGCATATGCTATGTTGGGTTTCAAGATCTCTTTTGTCATTTAATACCTTTCTATATCACACATCTCAAATAGAAATTTTGCCTAGCTGTCTTGTTTTTAAGTATTTTTTTCATATGTGTGCAAGTGAAATTATTAGTTTCATTGTAAAATGTCACATCTGATGCAGATGGAAACGTTCACAAGTAATTGTTGTTTAATTTGAGAATGATGCAGATAAGGTACATGTACTGGGGTATATCATTAAAAGAGCACACTAACTGCTGTGCAGTTAAAGGTGTAGGACCTTGACAAACAAATAAAACTTGTTCACCTCTCATGGGTTCAATCTTTGTAGACCATTGAAACCTAGTATTTTTTATGAGAAGGGTTCAGAATTGATTTTGTGCATACAATGTTAACCATAAAAGTTAAAATAATGAAATTATCATGTTTGTTAAGGAACAGGAACACGAGGCCATTTCTTGAATTTTCAGTGTAATCTTTTTTTCCAAAATTTTCATGATAGAAGCATAGTATGCAGGGAATCATTTGAGACAATTAAGTCTTAGAGTGATTTTATTATTCATATTTGTACTGGCACGTTACATTTTGAAGTTAAGTTTGTTGTCCTTCTCTATAACTCTGCAATACTTTAATCAGCAGCTACTCCTATTAGAAAAAACCTAGAAAGCTACAAGACAATTTTTGCTCTGAAAAAGCTGACAATATTAACATCATCTTTAAGAAACATTTAAAAGACCTGTGCCCTTCTTAATCAGCTGACACAATTTAAATATGTAGATAACCCTGTCTGTGTAAATGCTTGCTCTTGAGTTTGAGTTTTCTCATCAAATTATTAAATATCATTCTAACTTGAATCAATATTTGCTGGCTTTTCTTTTTTAAATTAAAGGAAATTCTCATGTCATTTTTTATGCTTCTGACCCATCAATTGTCTGATCAATTTACATTACAGGGAAAAGAAATACAGCTTTCTGTTCTTCACTTTTCCTTTTGTTGTAGTAGCCATGAAACCAGTGCAAAGAGGTTCTAGAAGTTGCAGACATTATCCATATAAATATATATGCATATGTCCAGTTAATTTTGAAACTGAAACCCCATCCCATCTCAACAAGCCA